GACCCTGACAACTTTTCCGGTCCATTACATGCAATTCAGCAGCTTGTAAATCAATTGGATTTTTAACCCCGTCCACCATTGTATTGCCCCACCCTGTAACCAGCACCATTTTGTCTGTTTTGGGGTAGCCCTTTGCTAGTTTAACAAATTTGACCGTGGCACTTTGCACGGCGGGTGTGGCCAGTTTTATTAGGCAATAATCGTGCGAGAGCCTTTTAGGGTCATTCTCAGTGGCATTCATATTGTACTTGTGATGTATGATACGTTTGGCCACTTTTGATTGGAAAGGTAGCCTGTTCACTTTCAAACCTCCCCACTTTATGGTCTCGTTTAGGTGGTGTATGAGGGGGCTATTATTTGCAAAATTAATAAAATTTAATTAATTTCTAGGCCGAGCTAGCTACAAAAGTACAAATGTCTTAATACGTATACTAGTGGGCTTAAAAATAAACTGCACATTTAATAATATACCTTGCTCATTTTATAATAATTTTAATTTAATGATAATACTTTAATCATAAATATTAATTTTAATAAATTTTAATATTAAATATATAGCTTACATTTTACAACAATGGGCCGCGGTGATCACCCAATTGGCATTGATCAGGGAACCACCACACATATGGGAATCGCCAGATTTACCAAGGACCCTATATGAAACTTGCCATGGTGCCTCACCTGGCCGGGCATCGCGACCACCTATTACTAACCTACGACTATAAACGGTAGCAAATGATAGACAGGTTATTAGTAATAGCACCGGTAGTTTCATATTAAGTTGGTTTAGTTGACATCCATAAAGGTTTATGGGAAAATAAAAGTGATAGATATAAAAATATGTGTTTTTATATAAATATTAAGATCCTGTAATGATTAATTTTCCGGAATATGTATGGCTAGATATGGTCATTATAGTTATACGTAAAATGTGCAAATAAGTATATAAATTAATATTGCTACGTGATTTGTTATAAACACACATATAGTTAGTTTCAAGGAGAATATTTTATTTTTAAAAGTGGTAAAACATTTTAAAAACATATTATTGAATATTTGTGGCAATATTTGGGTCAACATTTTGATGACAGTATTGTATCAATCGGTTGACAGCAATGTCAAGCATTTGTTCGCAAATATTCACAAATATATGCAGTTTTAAAGCAATTTAAAAATAACTAGTTAATTAATTTTGTTAATAACTTTAGATTGTAATAAAGTAATTTGTTATTTTGTATAGATTGATATATATATCAGGGTTATGCAAAAGTTTTGATAGGTAGAATATAATCAGTAAAAGTTCATTTATTTTTGAACCAGATAATTTAAATAAAAAATATAAATATGAGAAACATGGTTTTTAAGCCTATATAGTTAATTATTATTCTAATCTGTATTTAATAAAAATACGGTGCTTATTAATTAGAGAAAGATATAGTACTATATTCAGTGATATTTGTATTGTAAACTCATAGACTAAGTTAATTGAAATACAATATATCAGGGGTATGCAAAAGTTTTGATAGGTGAAATATAGTCAGTAAAAGTTTATTGATTTGTGAACCAGGTAATTTAAATAAAAAATTTTAATATGAGAAACATGGTTTTTAAGCCTATATAGCCTGCCTAAGTTATAATTTTATGTGAGTACCGGTATCATAACACAGGTAGTTTTTGTAAAATGTGCTATAACTCAAAAACTATCAGGCTTATCTCTGCAAACGATACGCCATTTGNCTAAGTTATAATTTTATGTGAGCACCGGTATCATAACACAGGTAGTTTTTTTTAAATGTGCTATAACTCAAAAACTATCAGGCTTATCTCTGCAAACGATACGCCATTTGAAAGAGAATTAAAAATTAGGAAATACATTAAAAATTATATTATCTATATATCAATACCAACAGGACAGGGAGGGCGGGTAGCTTAAAAAAATTGATTTTTAAACAATTATAGAATTAAGACTATTAGTGATAGAGAAAAGTTGTTTCGTGGAAAATGTGCAGGATTAAATTCTCTATCGATCCATAAAATAAAAATATTCTGTTGATTTGGGGCACCGGGAGGAAAGGGTGTTTTTATTATTATTTTTATAAATGGACTTATAAAATAAATAACTAGTGTATCGAATAGAGCTAAAAAAACTAACAAATAATGCATTTTAAATTTTTAAAATATCTCCCTATATAACTATTCTAGGGCATTTCAAATTTTCCGTTACTAATATTGCCGAATATTACGTGTCGAAAATATGTGTCAATTAGCAAGATGTATTATACAGGGCTGTGGATTTTAGATACTCAGCAATAAAAGAGTATATTTCCAAAACTCTCAAACATTTCAATACTAAAATTATCAATACTATGTGTTTGTTTAATAATTTTGTCAAACATTAAAATTCTTATCTCCTATTAATGCTCGAGCAAAAAAGGATTAAGTCAATATAACTTTAAAATCAAAAACCTAATCAATTAAACCCTTACCTTTGCCAAAGGATTGTTATCAGATAAACCTTGTACTCTTTGACAAAAATATTAAATTAAAATCTTTTCTAATGATTTTTGTTTACTGAATTTCTTAAATTATTGATAGATATTTGTGATAACGATATATTGAAATGTTTGAGAGTTTTGAAAAATATACCCTTTTATTGCTGAGTATCTTAAGCGCACAGGGCTGTACTCTTAATTTACGTAATATTTGATATGATATTTAATCATGCTAATTGAAAAATTTTGTCGATAAATTATATCCATTGTTATATCATTATAGGTATATTGAAAATATCACTAATTTAATATTGAAAATATTTGTAAATTAACAATAAATAATGGAACTTTAAAATGCCCTATAAATGTTATATAGCAAGATATTTTAAAAATTTAAAATGCTTTAACATTTATAATTATAAGATCTTAAACAAGGTTTCAATAAATTATTATAAATATAGAAAATTATTATTTCATTTATTATTATTTTTGTTAATTCATATAATTAATAACATTAGGCAACAAAGATTTAAATTAAAATGAAAATTTAAAATATTATTAATTAAAGTTAATTATAAGAAATGTTTAACTAAAAATATAAACTTATATTTGTTTTATATGTCAACATAAATACTGTATATTTAATTAATGTCAAATTAATTGTTTATTGACAATGTATGCCTCAATTGTAATACATTGCATATTACTTAATAAAAAAATATTTATATTATTCAAAATAAAAATAACTAAAATTGAAATTGGAATCTATTCCGATAAAATAAATAAATATAAAACAATTTGGAAATAAATAACCAGCATGCAACATAGCCATCATTAGCCTCATCATTATGTTCAAGGTAATGAATATTATCCTCAAAAATAATTTGATCCCGGTCACACACTCGACCATTTGTAGCATTTTCAATATAATTAGTTAAACAAGCGCATTTACCATGGACACATTTTCTGTATTTATCCCATGGTTTACTACAATTATCATAACATAAATACCATGAACACTTTTCCAGTTCAAAATCCCACTTAAAATTTGGTGACACCTACACTGACCATGCACATACACTTCATTTACATCGCTACATTGATTACTATGGTCACATTTGGGAATATAATTAAGTGTACACATAAGTGCATTGTTAGAATCCTTTCGGTATAAATAATTGGAAACACATTTATGTTGGTAACAATAATTTCTATTTTGATCAGGATCAGTTAAACAATCATAGTTCTCAAAGCACATGTAGTTCTCACATGCCGTACCATTCCATATATCATTTGGTGCACAATAACATTGGTGATTTACGCAAACTTGATTAACCCGCTGACATTTGGGTTGAAGGCTACATGACACATTTAGTTCATAAATAGAAAATGAACTTGGTGTAAATATAATTTCGAAATAGAACATTATAAATACATTTTGAATGTTCATCTTAGTTGGGAACATCGTGTCCTGTCAGTAAATTATGC